AATATTTATTTAAAATTTTTGGCTTTCAGATTTTTTTGTTTTCTAATTTTTTTTTGGTCTTCCTAAATTAAAGTACACATTTTGTGTAATGAAAGTATCACAAAATAGCAGCATAGAAATTTGTTTAAAAATGTCTTCATCCATATAAAATTAATGTTTTCTCTGAAGAAAACTCAGGACAACATAGATAAAAAGGAAATTCTAGCAGGCAGAAACCAAATCAAAAGCTAATTTCATTGGATGAATGGATCTTCAGGTTGTCCTCACTTCCCAACTAACTGGGATCAGCAACTAGGTTAGGAAGCAACAGCTCAGTAAGCAACATGGTCATAAAGTGAAACATCATATGATTGTGCTCAACTTATGGTATCAGTTTTTGCTACCATGAACCAGATCACCCATGGTCATTAAGTGCAATGACATATGACTGAGACTTACAAATTCTTGCTGCTTTGCCATTGAATCTGCTTCTTGGAATCTGATTGTAATCAAGCAACCATGGGACACTATGATCATTGTAAATGTACACCAGTTGCCAAGCTCCTGATATGCAATTATGTGACCATGAGCTACTGCGACAGTTGCAAGTGTGAGGATTGTTCATGAATCTCCTTCTCCAGTGCTACTATTACTTAAGTTGGTAAGTGAGGACTACCTCTATGTGGTACCTGATACCTTACTACGTATCAGGAAAAGTTCAAATAAATGTTGGTAGTTGAAGTTTATTATCCTCTTTCACCCTTATCAAGATAGATGTGGAAATACAATCCATGGAACCTGATCACTACACAAATATTCATATATGTAGAATAAAGTCATACATTATTGTGAAGGACATCTGGCTCATTTCTGTCACTACGCATAGTTCTGATTTATTATTCTGTATCTCAGAGGTTCTCAAATTAGTGGTACCTCAATCTGCTGAAATGATAAATGAATTTGTATTGCCCTTGCCTTGAATAAAATGAATGATGTAATTTGGCTGAGGGTCGAGCAAGCAATAAATACATCACTTTCTTTTAATAATTAAAATTTAATTCATATACTACACGAGTTCTCAAATTTTATGTTATTAAACCTGTTTGCTGGGACTTGCCTAGGCAAAGTGAGGAGCAAAGCACAGGTATGATTTAGCAAAGTTTCTATTATCTAGATAAGACCACAGCCAGATTAAATGGAGAGAGCAGGAAGCAGAGTCTAAAACAAATACTGACTAGGCTTCTACTTTGACTGCACACACTGGATAAAGTTTGAAAGAAATAGCACCCACCTCTAAGTAATTCAGGATCCGCTGAAAAATCCTATGTTACAAGTAGAGAATGCCTACTTTATCTCAATTCTAAATGCAGCATACATATTAAATGGTGCAAACATTTAAATAAATGCTGTACAATTCCACCATTAGACATACAATTTAAAATGAGTTCTGCAACTGTGACCTTTTTGGATTGCTACTGAACTTCACTGGGGAAAAGAGAGAGAGAGAGAGAGAGAGAGAGAGATTGAGATTATGTGGTCTTGTGTAATGTAAATAATCACTTTGAAGATAGTAAGTGAAAAAAAAGTTAAGGGGAACATTATGAATTGCTTTGGAGTTCTGACCTTGTTCACAGGGAACCAGTGGAATAGTGGAATGAAATTAAAAATGTTCTTAAGAATTAAGTTGAACAGAGACTGTCAAAGACCAAAAAAAAAAAAAAAAACAACAGAAAAAACATGCTGGATGTCAAAACAAAAAGTGACAATTGTCAAGAAGTAAGACAAAGTAAGACAGCACGGTTCTTAACAAAGTCTGAGAATTGTTAGAAGATCTTAAGAAACAGTATTATAACAGCATCCATAAAGGCATTTACTTGATGGACAAATAGTAACTGATTCAAAAAGATCAAATAGCGATGGAAGGAATATATTGAAATTCAATAATTCAACAACAAACAACAAAGATTTTCTCTATTTACAAGAACATCTAGTATTTGAAGATGAAGCTTTCTGGTCAAAGGCTACAGAAATTGAATGTCTTTAGGTGTGTGGCAATCAGTAAAGATTCTAACCAAATTATGCCAACAAATATGGAGACTACTATAATGACCAACAGATTGGAAGAGATCAGTTCACACCAGTGTTTTTCAAACTTGGTAATTTTAAAATGGGTGAACTTAGAATTCCCCAGCCAGCATTGGCGAAACACTAGTCTACATATTAATATCAAAGAAAAGAAACAGTTGAGTGTGCAAAATAGCATACAATATCTTTAATTTCACATTCGAGCAAAATAATGCTGAAAATCATTCAACATAGATTTGGATTCTGCTGGAAAAGGGAGATGCTAAATATTCAAGCTGGCTTTGGAAAAGTTTCCAGAGACATCATTGCTGCAGCATGCTGATAAATTAGAAAAAATGAATACAGAGTTTATTAAGTACAGAAAGGTTTTTGGTTGCATCAGCCATTTCAAGCTGTGGGTAAATGGGAATCCCAGACCATCTCATTGTCCTCAGGGAGTCCAAGAAAGTTACAGTTTGGATGGAACATAATGAAACACATTGGCTCCAGGTCAGCAAGGGAGTGAAAACAAGGCTGTGTACAGGGAGTCCTCGACTTACAACAATTTGTTTAGTGATTGTTTGAAGTTACAACAACAGTGAAAAAAAGTGACTTATGCTGTTTTTCACACTTACAACCCTTGTAGTATCCCCATTGTCGTGTAATCAAAATATCAGGTGCTTGGCAACTGCCCTCATATTTATGATGGCTGCAGTGTCCTGGGGTTGCATGATCCCCTTTTGCCACCTTCTGACAAGCAAAGTCAATGGGGAAGCCAGATTCACTTAATAATTATGTTACTAACTTAAGAATCGCAGCGATTCACTTAACAATCTTTGGTTATTTGTGGTAAGAAAATTTGTAAAATGGGGCAAAATTCACTTAACAAATGTAACATAACAACATAATTTTGGGGCTCAATTGTGGTCATAAGTTGAGGATTATCTGCAATTTCTCCTTTTTATTCAACCTTTATGCTGGATTTAACTGAGCAATGCTGGATTGGAATATGAGTATGGTTTTAAAACTGAATATCATCAATATTCTGCACTATGCTGATGACATTACTTGATAGCTGAAGATGCAAAGAATCTGCAAGCTCTAGTAATGAAAGTCCACAGTGAAATAATTGGATATGATTAAGGATATGATTATGATTAAGGTCAATCTAATGACAAGATATACAACAACCAATATTAGGACTGATGAACTGGTGGCTGTTGATGAACTATTAGCTATACGAGAAGCTTGTAAAGCAATAAAGAAATCTGGTAGGGTAGCAATAATGGTCTCTGAAAAGGTATTCAGAAATGGTTCTTTATCTGTATTACAAAGATTCAAATCATGCATGCAATGGTTTTGCCCTGTGACACGCTATAGAAGCAAAAATTGGATTTTGAAGAGCCAAGATAGAAAAGTACTGATGCTTTTGAACTTTGATAATGGAAAGGACTCCTAAGATTAGCATAGGGTAGCCAAGAGTTCTCAACAATCCAGAGTTCTCATTTGAAGAAAAATTAATAGACTCAAACTATCATATTTTGGACACATTAAATCAAACCTCTTACCTCCTTTGAAAACAGGATGAATAGCAGCAAAGTACATGGTCTCAGTTATAGCAAAAATAGGTGCTCTGTTGGGAAATCTGAAAGACCAGTTTGGGGACAAATAATTCTAGAGAAGATGTATATAAAATATTTGTATTTAGACATTTTAATTTGTTTAAATGTATTTCAGAGTATTATATGGGATGACTACAGTCATTACATCCTGATACAGTAAATAATTCACACATAGCTAAAATATGTAATTTATCAGACCTGAAAAAGCATATTGTAAATGTGATTTTGTTTCAAAAAATAAAGAGCCTTTTGTGAGCATTTGTGTAGCGAAATTCATCATGGAGTAAAAGAAATACAAATAATTAGTTTTTGTCTCCTTTCTGAAGATTTGCATGTGCATTAATTTTATGTGGATTTTCTCTCCAAGATTGATTCAGGAGTTTGGTTGGCTTGGCTGATGAGAAAGATGTGAATGTTTTGGCAGTTTTGAAAATTCATAAATATCTTCTGCCACCAAGCAGAACAACTCAAGGTGATGCAGCTGTTATTGCCTTCCACTGTCTTCCCCTCAACCAAGGCTTTTAGAGGAGGACTAAAAGAAGGAAAATACATTTTCCTTTCTGTTAACTGAAAATTCCTCAGGTCAGTTTCTGGTAGTCATTTTGTAGAGGCCTATGTTATCAAGTTATGTTATCAAATTATATCCAAGATATATGCCTCACTAAAATGTCTGTTAGAACTAGAATGTTGTTTATTAGAAACACATAACGAAGAAATGGGTGAGTGTTAGGTTCAGAAAAAATAATTAGGATTTGTTTAAAAAACAACAACAATAAAAGTATAGAAGGAACAATGGGTACCCTGCTCATCTAAAATGAGTATGGCCTCATTGAAAAATAGTTTAAAAAGAGATTAAACAAAGCTTTGATCGCAATGAGCATAAAAGGAACATTCAAACATATGTATTTCTCTATCTAGAAATTAGCATATATTAAAATGCTACCTTTGGGAAGAAGAACTCTACTTTATTCATAAGCCTTTCACATCTGTTGCATCTTTATTCTCTGTCTTACATGGGATGTCCGTCTGTTTCCTTTCCTGGTTTTGACTTTGGCTTGCTAGATTCATCGTTACAGGTTTTGAAAATGCTGTAAATTTAATATAAATAGCCGTTTTATGAGCCTGGAATCACTTAATCACGTTTGTTTGTTTCTAGTCGTCATGAGGCAGTAAATAAATAAGTAGATGTAAACACTGAAGACTACAAGTATGCCGAGCGTCGCTGCTACTTGGTACTGATTCACAAGATCCACTCTTCTCCGCCTCGGTCTGAGTAGGCGGAGGGTTGCCTCTTCACTGAGCGCGAAAAAGGCTGCCGGCTCTCTTCCGCAGTACGCAGTAGCGTTTTCTCAGCTCTCTTTAGGACCCGGGGGGAGCTTTGTGTTCGTGTCCCCCCCGTTCGCTGTGCAGGGTTGTAAATTCCTTCTGTCAAGGCAGCCCAGCCGCGATTGCAGTGGCAGCAGAAGCTTGGGAGACCCGGGGCTGTTCGATCGCCTAGGGCTGTAGCGCCTGGCACCGGCTTTCCAGTCTCGGTCCGCACCATGGTGGGCCGACGGCGGCAACAACCGCGGGTGACACGATTCCTACTCCCTGCCGCTTTTTCCGACCTTCCGTGTATTTTTCCCGCCACCACGAGGCGAGACCCCGCCGGCTACAGCCCACCCGTCTGTGGAATCGCCGTCTGTGGCTGCTGCTCCTTTTCCCTCCGCGCCCCAAACTCGCTGCTTTGATTTGCATCCATTAGGTAAGCGGGGGGGCGAGGGGGGAGGGAGGCAGGCGGACTTGGAAAAACAGCCTCTTTTCCGGAGGTCCTGCCGCCGTCCCAAATTCGACGGAGACGCCTGAGGTCACCTTCCTGCCGCCTGTGCTGCTGCGCCGTCCGGAGGTGAGTACCAGAGCAGAATAGTGGCGGAGGGAGGGCAAGATAAAGGCGACAAGGCAGAGTCCGCCAAACGTCTCCAAACGCGTGGGAAGGAGCTATTTTATCCCGCGTTGGGGCGATTGATAAGTGGCGCAGGACCGTAAGCAAGGACGGAGGCGTGGTCGACCGGTCGTTCCCGGGGTGGACCTTAGCCTGGGACTTGGGGGTCGTCGGAAATGCGGAAATGTGGGATAAGGCGCGGGCTCGCCTTCCTTTCGACAGGGTTAGGGAGCTGCCCACCTTCGATTTGTAGCCCGTCGCCAGATTTTCGGAGAAAGAGGCTGTCCCAGTTGGGCTGCTTCGCCCTCGATCTTTCGGGATCGTCATACCAGGGACTCTGCATGCCAGACACGTGCGCGCCCGTAGAGTTCCGGACTCTCAGCCCCATCTTGCTTTTCCTGCCGTAAGAGCGAGTAGGTGCGTCTGGACCTGGTCCAGTCAAATAAAGTTGCTTGCGCTTGTGGTGTTTTCTACGCACAGACTTCGTTGCTGAGATGCGCCAGTTCTGCGTTTCATTTTATTGCATTTAGCATGTGGAAGACATGCTTCGAGAAATAATATAGGAGACGCACGTTAGGTTCTTTCCTTCCTCTTGGTCCTCAGATATGTCTTACCAGTTTATCTAAATAACCCATACAGTGTACATTTCTGAAGCTGTACATACATGATGCAATATAAGAAAGAAATGTGAAGTGGCTTGAGGGCTAGCTGAAAAAAACACTTAACTTTTGGCTGGGGGAACCATTCCAGAAACAACCAATTGAATTGAATTGAATTAAAAATTCAATGTACTTAATATTATTTACCTCATAAATTTAAACAATTTCTCTCAAATTGAAATTTACGTCACTAACAACTTTTGGAAAGGCTCTACAGGCTGTCACCTTGGAGCTTCATTGCATTCCTGGGACGCGGGGTATTTATTGTGATATATGCCAAGAATGTGGTAACTTGTAATGTTTTAGAATAAACAAATGCTCAAAAATAGATGTTTAGATGTAGATTTAAATGAGGAACCTGCCTGTCATTTCTAGATTTCTGTAAAGATAGCTAAGTTATTAGTATGGAATTCTTAACATTCAGGGAATACTTTCCAAATTGGAGATTTTTAATTCATATTTTGCAGTGTTTATCTAGGCTGAGTAATTTATTTGTTTTGAGGTGGAGAAATCAGGGTTTGGAATAATACTTCTGATATAGTTGATTAGGGAATTAATGTGGGCAACAATATTGGGTTTAATATTGCAGTATTTTAATATTAGATCCCCAGATTGATTTAATTGTAAGAATATCTTAATTTTCATATGTTAATTTTAATACTTGTTTTATTAATGTTTATTCCTTTTATAAATGCAAACTGTTTGCATGTTTTGGCTCATAAGAGAAAAATAGTACTCAGATTTTGTAAAATTATTTAAAGTGACAACTTGTCTATTGACTCTGATGTCAGTATCAGTATCTTTTCTTCCCTTTATCTATTGGGTTATAGTAGTTGATTAGTAAAGAAAAGCTGACTTTCCTTTTTAGTGCATGGGGATCAGCATACTTAGTAACAAAATAATCAAACTGAACAAGAAATAGTACATTCAGATCTTGTCTCTGCTATGATCTGGACTCCTTCAGAAAAGGACCAAGTTTCTTCACTTGGTCCTTTTTGATAACATAATAAAAGTGTTACTGGGATTTGATCAGTGTAGTGCGAACAAAGATATTTGCATAAAGGAAATTCTATATTGCAATCATCTAAACCTCTATCCCAGAAGAGCTCTATAAATGTAGAATGTGGGGAATGAAAAGGGAATGTCCAGTAGTGAATTTTTGCACACTTAGGCCGTTCCAAAAAGTCCCCTCTCTCTCTTAGAAGAGGATTTTTGGCATATACAGTCTGTGATGGGTGGTGTCTGTGTGGTAAATAAAAGGAAAATGCTTTAAAAGGATAGGTTCTTTTAAAAAAAATGGGGTAGGCTGGTCAGAGGGGTTTCTGCTTTTATTGGCTGTAAATGAAACACAAACTCTTTTACAGAATTCTGAACAAGCTGGAACTCAAAAATGACTTTCCTCAATAGGCAAATAAAATGTTTTAATAATGTCCCTTGCTTTTTGATAATTAAGCAAAAATCATGAGCCCTATGGTTGCTGTATACCAGTAGATGATAATGTGAAGATGTTTTATTAAGCTTGTATGCTGCCCAACTCTCAATGACCTTGGATGGCTCATTAATAATAATAAAACAAAGAACCTGCAATAAAACATAAAAAATAAAGATGGCAAGGACAGTGAAATGAGGGATTTCACTCTCCCTAGCCAAAGTTCTGGGTGGAGACCCAGGTTTTCCTGGATCTTTTAAACAACAGCAGAGTGGAGGGGGGGGCTATCCAGACCTTGTTCAAAGGAACTTAGATCATGTCAACTTTCCCATAAATATTATGGGAAACAGCATGTCCCTCAAGTAACTATGTCATGTATAAATGAAGGAACAGTTAAGATTCTGTTGCAAATACACTGAGAATTTAAGTACCTTTATTTGAAACCAATGTACTAGATTCTGCATAAATGTACCTTGGGTACATAAAAAGAGTGAGATGTAAATATTCAGCACCTCCTGAATGGTTCACAGTCATGTACGCACTGTTCTGTGCAGAATTAACAGTTGAGCATGTTAAATTTTATTTCTTGCATAAATTGAACAGAAATTGATAATTTGTGGTCAACCAATTATTTAACAAAGAATCCTTATTATTTGAATTAACTTAGTGTACATATATCTAAATTTGCAGTATTCAAAAATGAATGAATGACAAAAATATATGAAATGTTATTAATGCTGGGTGATGTATGGATGATACTTTTTAGAAATACTCTACAACATCTACTTGGTGAGACATAAAAATAAAATGGAACTTTTTAATTACACTAATGGCTGCACTATTTCAATGTGTATCAGGTAAATCATTTAAGTAAATTATTATACAACAGGACATTGTATCATTTTTGACTCAAGGTCTAGAAAGTCTTAGCTTTCTATTCTTTGATTTTTTGTTTTGTTTTAAAGCTTTTATTCTAGCATAGAAGAAAAGGAAAAACAGATTGTTTAGGATGTAGTCTAGTAAAATTCTTTGGCTTCTGTTTTTCCTTGATCTCAATACCTTAGGCAATTCTAATACGTTCAAAATGAACATTTTTGCAAATATTTTATTTATGTTTATAATTTGGAAATAGCTTCCCCGGTATCTAAGTATAATCTCCAATATGTTCTTTATTTTCCTTCTGTGTAGGATACAAGAGAGTTATACTAGTGTTTCTGTCTTTCATCATCTACTGTGGTAGTAAATACTGAACAGACACTAATGTTCTTCATGACATATACAATACTTTTGTGAAAAGTATTACTGCAATTTTATGATGGAAATGAGGATTGAGAAAAAAATCAGGGAGAGTAAATCTATCAATATCCAATATCTGAGACTGGGACTTCTAAAGCAGAATGCCTATGAATCCTAGATAGTGAGGGTAGCAACACAATGATGTGTTGTGTTTTGAAACATCTTTTTGCTCTGATATAGCAGAGTTTCAAAGTTGCATAAATGTAACATAAAATGTAGAACTGGCAAATTGTCTAGCTGAATTGTCTTTTAAGGTACTTGCAACACAATAATATTGGTTATGGATGCTACAAATAAATCTTGGTGGTCAATTTCAACATGGTCTTAAAATTAACAATGTTGCCATTTGTTCATTGAATAATGACTAAAGCTGATTATGAAATCCATTGTCATTTACATATTGTAATAGAATTTTTTCTTCTCAAGTGTATATATTTAAAACAATTAAAATAGTTTGTAAATGTTAATTTAATTAAACAGAGGACATAACATACTATGTTTGCTTTAGCATTTATATATTTAAATATGTTTTAATTTTTATTACCATATCAGTAAGATACCAGTTAATAACAATAATGCAATTTGAATTCAATTTCAAATAGGCTATTAATCTCTATCCCATTTAATCAGACATGATCCTGAATTAGGATAACCTCCCCACAAAAGAAAGTAAAGAATTCCTCAAGTAGCCCTGATAGTTGTTTTGTAGCCATACAAATTCCCGGAAAACATTTTGAACTGGAATTTTTAATATTTAAACTTTTTCCACAACCTGCTTATTAATCTTTTAATAAGCTTGTCTATTTCTAATAAAGATCATTATCAGTAAGACCTGTATCAGGATTTGCTAAGTTTTAAAACGAAAAATAAGAATAAACAGTATATGTAACCGATGGAAAAAGCTATTAATAATTTTAATAAAGCTCTTAAAACAATTTATTATTATACAATTATTTACTTTTAATTTTGGCAGTGAAATATATAATTCTTTTTTTTTTTTTTTGCTCAATATTACAGAGGTAAAATTGAAACGGAATAATTATTTGTTAAAACTTAAAAGCTCTTCTGGCTAATCTCTTGGAAATTCTATCTGGCAGCTTCCAGAGACAGTCAATTTATTTAGTTATTCATTTACTTAATATATACATTCATAACTCATCTTTTTACTGTGGCCTTATCTGTGTTTTACTTTTAGTTCCATCTGCTTTTGAAAGTTACATTTCTTTTCTGAAAGCCATATACTGTAGGTCTGATTATTCCCTGCATCTCATAAATAGCTGCTTATTCATGGGCTAAGAAAATAATTTTGTGCAAAGCAAAAGCTGGTTGACAGGGAATATTGAACAAAAAGACAATATTTCTGAGTTAATTTGAGAGGGTGGCTATAATTCAATCCCACCTCCCTCCTATCTAGTACTGGAATTCATACAAAAGCATCAGAGATGATGGTTCTCATTTGAACTCCGTGGTTTATTACTGTTAGAATTTTTTTTCTTAACAGTTAACTGCAATCTGTCTTTGTATTAAAGGGGCACTCCATGATCTGCCAGACATGGACCAGCTAGGGAGTGCACTTCCTGACACACTTATCCCACATGGCCAAAAAAATATGTTTGTTTCCTGAGTAGAACATGCTTCATAGCACATAAACCAAAACAGCCTCTTTTATGGTAAGGAGAAGAAAAATTTAATCACTTCAGAATCCTATTTCAGAATACTGTTCCTATTTAAAAGGCCTTATCTTGAAACATGAAAGAGGGGGAGGGGTGAGGAATCACTGGAGCAGGGGTCTCCAACGTTGGCAACTTTAAGACTTGTGGACCAACTCCCAGAGGTTGAAGAATTCTGGGAGCTGAAGTCCACAAGTCTTAAAGTTGCCGACCCCTGCATTGGAAGATGTACCTGGAAATGGAGGAACACAACCTCAGGAAAATCCTGGAAGTCAACAGAAAAAAGCAAATGGCAGCTCTTCATCTGAATGGGGGAGGAAAACTATTTGGGTTGATTGCAAATACAGCTAAGTTGGTTTCTCTGAAAAATGGAGGAAAGGAAAGGCACTCCAAATTGGAGCTCAGACTGCTCCTAAGCCTAAAAATTAATTTTTAATTCTGGGAAGATTACATAGCTGTAGTACCAAATCTGTGCCCATGAAATACGATCTTAATTCAATATAAGCACTATTTCTTTACCAAATTTGCATGATTCTCTTTTATATAAAAAGAGAACAAGTAAGCTTTTTTATATTAAATGATGTGTTGGCTGTACTAAAGCATGGGTGGGGGAGTGCTGTGCGTGCTGAACAAAGTATATCAAACTGTGTAGATTTACAGGATGCTGTCTTTGGATTCTGCATTTATTACACGCTCCAGACCAAAGCCTAGCACACTGATTCTTCCTACACTGATATCATTGGAGGTACAATTAATGCTCACTCTTTAAAGTGGAATGAGTTCTTAACCAATTAAATTAAAATTTGGTTGTTGTTTTTCTTGAACACAAGGACTTAAACATTTAAGTAGTAATTTTTGAAACACTATAATCAAAGGGATTGGTTGTAGTAACGTTGGAGAATATTGGTCCCATCATTGCTCTTGAACTCTTTGAATGTAGTTATTCATAAAATAACTGTAAAAGTCATCTGTTTAATCTGTTTAATCTGTTTTATCCAAATTATTAATAGTGTTAAATCTGTAAAATGAATTAATGAGTTGAAATAATGCTTTTTTAATAAAAAGGAAGACAGCATTTCATGGAATGTTTTATTCTACCTTTTGCAAATATATTTCTTTCCAATTTATTTTATATCTTATATCTCTAAATGTAAGTATTATTTTGTATTTGTAAGAATGTCCGAATGATATTAGCTTATCTAAGGCCTAGTTCAGAGAAGTGATTTGAGCCAGATGCTTCACGGATCAGCTCTCTGGCTCTTGGACCTTATGCTGCATTAACTATCCAATGAGGTAAAAAAACTTCTCTGTTGTAGCACTATCTTCAGTTCATTAACAATCAGCACTATCTTCAGTTCATTAACAATGAACATTTGTACCAAATGCTTTAGAAATATGATTTGCATCTACAAGGGCTAAATTTATTTTCAACTCTTAAAAGCTGGCATTAGATCAGCATAAAGGTGGATGCTTTTTTCTCTTCTATACTGAGCCTTCTTTTTTCTCTCTCTCTTTCTCTTTCTGCCTCAGGAAAATGGACTATTTTTTTTCTATGTGATATTTATCAGACAAATGACAATTCATTGAGACAATAGAGGAAAAAGAATCCAGGATGGATGGCTTAGTCAAACAGAAAGGTGTGCTTAAAAAGCACAATAAGGCAATTGATACCAAGAAGAAGAATGGGCTGATTAACACAAGGAACTTAATGGCTGAAAACAGGGAGGGGTTGGTATCTGTGTATCCAACTGCTCAGTACCAGGGTCGGCCAGTTGGGACTCTCTATCCCCCAATTGACCCAATACAACAGCTTCTTGACCCCAGTATTCTTCCACAGACAGTAGAATCCCGCTATCATCCAAACATCATCCTCTATTCAGAAAGCATGCTACGATCGTGGGGAGAAAGCCTGAGTGCAGAATGCTGTGAAACAACCTTTATTGAGTCACCTACCAAAGGCTGCCTGGATTATCCTGAAGGCAAATGTGTCAGTCTATCCACAGATGAGATTAAGATCCAGACCCTCTCCTATGATATGGAAGAAGAAGAAGATGACGACGACGATGATGACTTCCAAGAACTAGAGGTCAGTATAGAGGTTGGTATATTGTCAATTGCAAATAATATGATAGGATAAATTGTGGTAGGATAAATTCTGTTTTAAAACATGCTAATAGTGTTAGCATTATTTAAATAATCAAATAATGCCCACCCACAGAAATGGCTTGTTAACTTGGATAAATCACTGTTACTTTCTTCCTTTTCATTTCCTTTGCTGCCACAGGTGTAATGGCATCATTCAATTAGTCCCAAAGCAGAAAGAAAGAGGATCCATGTACAAAGATGATTCCCACTTTGCTTGGTTGACTTCATTTTCATCAGAAGCCAAATCCAGAATTGGGAGGTGGGGGCAGGGAACCTTAACAAACAAAGGTTGTTGTTCTTTTGTCCAGGCAGGAACCTTTTAGGAGGCAAGAATCCATTGTGTAGACAGTGTTAATTCAGAAAGAAAGGGTTCTTCAGACTGTAAGAGTTGAGGAAACATTGCCCTATTTGCTGGGCTGATGGTCATGTGATCCTATTTTGTGATCTTCCAACAAGCAAAGTCAGTGGGGAACCCAGATTCACTTAACAACACTGTTACTAATTTAGCAAATGCAGTAATTCACTTAACAACTTTGGCAAGAAAGGTTGTAAAATGGGCTAAAACTCAATGTCTCAGCAACAGAAATTTTGGGCTCAGTTGTGGACATAAGTTGAGGACTATCTGTATATCCATCTATAGCAGGGGTGTCAAACCCGATCACATCACTGGCCATATCGTGACGTATCGGGATGTTTTTGCCTTTGTGAAGCCAGGGTGGGCATGGCCTCTGCGGGCTGTATCCAGCCCATGGACCGCCAGTTTGACAGGCCTGATCTATTGGAGGTAAGTAACTAGTACTGTGTATACTATACTATACTATAATAAAGTATTATTAGATGTTTCTCTAAAACCTGTTTTTAAAATTTAAATCCTTTATTTGGATTTTGAAATATATGTGGAAACACCTAAATTAGTGGCAAACAATTCAAGTGTTAAGCATGCTTCTTGATCTTATGTCAAAAATACTATCAGGAGTAATTAATCTGCACCCTAGCAGTCTGATGGGTTCAGATGAAATAAAGAGAAAAATGAAGTTCATGTGAAACTGAAAAATATTCTGTTCCAATTCTTCATTGATTAGGAAATTTGCATTCAAGCATACAAGGGCATCTTAAGCTCTTGTCTTTAAAGAGGTCAAAATGTTGCAGGGAAGCATCCGGAGTGGAAGCCAGCTTTGTCTCCCTATGTGGGAGATATAATCAAATCAAATACAATCAAATAATATTTTAAAAATGTAAATGAAAATAAATGTTAAGAAATAAGATGCATTGATGCTTCCTAATAGCTGTTTAATACAGGATAAGTGTTTACAAAAGGGTGACAACTTCATAATGGAAACCATATGACTTACATACTTGTATGTTGGCACAAGCGTAAAAGGCTGGGCTTTGTACTGCAGTGTTGATTGCAGCAATAAAGGTGTGGCTCATTGTGGCTTGTATTGGCTTTATAAGGATTTACAGGCTCAATTTATAATACCTCACTGAATAAAATATCTGGGAAATACTGCTCTCTTCTATATACAACAGTTATTAGGCCAGTACAAAGTAATTTTTCTGAATGTGGTCAAATTCTGTTAATACTGTGTGCAAAATTAGGCAAACTCTTAACTGCTCACTGATAATCCATCACCGATCATAATATAGTGTTTTGTCTTTATTTTTATAGTGTTTTGTCTTTATTCTTTATTATTATTAATATTTATAATGCTTTTATTCACAATACACAAGACAAATTCCTTGTGTGTCTAATCATACAATAAAGTATTCTATCTATTTGTAACACTAAACTATGACTAATAAAAATTGATTGGTTGTATGGGATATCTGTGGGAGAGGTGGTTGGCTTTTGATAAGCCAATTGTTGAATATATTCTGAAGGGTCACAGGTATTGCTGAAGTGCTAGTAATCAATACATTCAGACTGGATGCAGTTATTACTTGCTTATTTGAACTGAAGTAATCAAGGGGTCAGTTAATGAAATTGCTTTCCTTTTTCATTCTCCCTGTCTGTAGCTTCACTTTTTTAAAAACAAAAAAACACAGTTTCTTGTGGCTCAATTTCAAATCACTTCAAATTAAGAAAATATTCAAGTTTTTCCCTTCATTTGGCTGTCTCTCAACTGCCTATTTGGCAATACTACCATTAATTTCACTCTGGAGTCTAAGGACATTTTTAAATAATTTCTTTTTTCAGTCTGTTGGCAGCTGATGAAACGACTCCTGGGACAATGACAATGTCAAACTCAGCATCTTTCTTGAAAAAGTGATTTGGGTTTGACATTGTCATTGTCAGTAGCATGTCCCAGGAGCCATATCATTTTTAAATATTGATCAGAACTTTTAACTTGTACTCCAAATGGCCTTCTTATTGAAATTTATTTGACACATCCATTTTACATTATTTTTTTCTCCTATTCTAGTGGCTTGGTGTCCTTGTAACCTCCCCCTTGTAAGGTTGAGAGTTCAATCCTAGGTAGTGGCAAATGTTTCTCTCTCAGGGTACAAAGAGAAAATATATGCTGCAAACTCCACATGGCTTCAGGAAGGGCATCCAGCCAGTAAATGCTCAGCTCCATTCAGTTGCCCTGACTATCCCAAAATAAGGGATTACAGTATTATAAAAGGAGTTTTTTTTAATGACACTCATATATCCTCTAATGGTTTATTCTTTGCAAGTCCATTAGATATTCCCATGATTTATTAATCTAAACCAAAATCTTACAGATCGTTCTTCATTAACCTTTCCCAGTTTGGTATCTCAATGGGTATCTCAATACCCATAATAATAATCAAATCAGTTAACCTTAAACCTTGGAATTATAGGAGATATAGAACAGCTGCATTTGAAAGCAAAACAGTTCTAGGCATTCCAAGGCATTTAATAAGATTTATAATGCACAATAAGGAATAAACAAAGTACTTGATATTGTTGAGCCTAGATTGGGGATAGGAACAGGGTCTCAGTCCAAGTTCAGTATAAAATCTGCTGTCAACCATCTTTAAAACTATATGGTTTGGATCTTCAGAAGTAAAAGGACCTTTCTTGGCTGGGATGGCCTGAATTCACATGCAAGGATAGCCACCTAACAGAAAGCACTATAGAAGGGGTGTGTGTGATGGTGGGAACTCTTTATTGAAGTCTCCCCTTTTTATGTAACAACCTGCCCTCTAGGCCCTCTGCCCTCTGATTTCCATTCTTACTGCATTCCAGCAATTGGTAAAGACCTGGCTTTTCTGAAGGACCTTTGAGTTTATTACAGAGCCACCAACATTGAAATTAGCTTATATTTTAATTATATTAGTATTATTGTATATTTATTACTATAAAGTGCCTAGAGTCTGACAGTTTGTGCAGTTGTAAGAATATTAAACTCAAGGTATTCCTCCTGGGTGCTCCATGGGGTGAAATGAAATTAAATACACTGAGTGAAATTGAGTAGATAGCCAAAAAAAAAAAAAAAAAAAGTAGGAGTAGAGATAAGAGGGTAGGTAGTCTAGATGGTGGCTGGATTTGTAACTTATCACTATTTTATATTACTGCTTTTCCCTTAAACAAGGGAAGACTGATATATTTCCAGTTTAGATTCAGTTTCTCTGACTTTTCTCTAGCCTTATTTGTTTTGCTAGTATCTCTTTAGCTACTAATCATCAGTCTGTCAGAGTTCCAACCAAACTCTCCATCCCAAATTTAGCGCTCAGAGACGAAGTCCATCCAAGTAAGAATTTATTAAAGAAGTCATATGGCACATCTGGGGAAAACCCAAATCTGAATTCCCGCGTTTTCTCCCTCTACACTAAAACTCACACCCTGCCCCTATTGATGACCCTCAAGTCATGCTCTCCAATCCACTTCAATTCTGAACTCCCGCCAAGTCCAGTCACTCCCCTCCAAACTCCAGCAACTCAACCTTGAGCTCCGGCAAAAGAATGTTGTTGTGGCTATCTTCACTACTCTCCCGTTCCCACAGCTTGCCTATCCCCCCTTGTGGTAGCCCTAAACCTGAATCAAGAAGGATCCGGGGTTGACAGGCTGCCTCCCCTCAAGTGATGATAACATCCTGAAATGAAACAAATGACAAGAGATTAGAATCAACAGCAACTAACTACATCTTCCTCCCCCCAGGGGGTCCCTTTGGCTTATCGGGAAATTTTTCATGAAATTGCTTTACCAATCTATCTGCTTTTACATTCCAACTTTTTACCCAAGTGGCTTTAGATAAAGGGTACCCCTTCCAGTGAATGAGATATTATAATCGATCCCTATGTAGTCCAGAATCTAGGATTTTCTTCACTTTATAATGTTCTCCACCCTGGACCACTATTGGTTTGGGAGCTGGCCAATCTCTTGGTCTCAATTGGGAGGTTACAGCCAGTTTCAGCAAGCTACTATGGAATACCGTATGCACTTTCCCCAATAAGCAAGGGAGACTTAATTGCACAATTATAGGGTTTATCACTTTCACTATTGGAAATGGCCCTATGAATTTTGGACCTAACTTCTTTGTGGGAAACTTTAGTCTAGGATATTTAGTGGACAGGTAGACCCGATCGCCCACTTTGAAAGGGGCGGCGGCTTTCATCTTCAGCCACCAGAATTGACATCTCGTCAAGTGAAGGGTCTTTAGGAACCCAAAGTGTCCAGCCAACCTTAGGCTGGCAGGAATGTACAACTTAGGCCCTTTCCATGTTAACCCATCTCGCGTCATCAGGACATTGGGATTGTTTTTTAACCACTGGTCTGAGGGGATCACAGATTTCACCTCTGCGGTGATTGGTAGTGTGGTCACCCCTACTCCTAGCTTGGCTTTTGATGGTGACTTGAGCAGCTGGCTGAGATTGAAGCATGACTGCATGTACTACCTTCCACTTGCTGTTAAACTGAGTTTTTCTTGATAGTGCATCAGCTAATTTATTCTCACCTGGGATATGTGTCAGTTCAAAATTGAAATGTTTAAAGTACTGCGCCCAGCGGACTTGTTTAGGGGACAGCTTTCTTGGAGTTTTAAGGGCCTCCAGGTGCTTATGATCAGTCCAGACTTCAAAAGGCTCTTTTCCCCCCTTCCAAGAAATGCCTTCAGGAGAGGAGGGCCCACCTCATCGCGAAACCTTTTTTCCATATGGCCCATTGTGTCTCGGCATCAGTCAGCTTTTTGGAAACATAAGTGCAAGGCTACAGCTGGCCCAGGGAATTTTTCTGTAGGAGCACTGCAGCAACTGCCACATCACTGGCATCCACTTGCACCACAAATGGCCTGTCTGGGTCAGGGTGCAGTAGAATTGGTTTCTTCAAAAACAGTCTTTTCAACTTCTCAAACGCACACTGACATTTAGGGATTCAGTTCAATGGCTGGTTGGGTTTTGGCTTGGGGTCAGTCTCCTTGGTTTTTAACAGTTCATTCAGTAGTAGCACTATCTCAGCAAATGTAGGAATAAATTGTCAGTAGAAGAAACTTTGGAGCTGTTTCCAGGTGCAAGGGGTCTGCCAGTCGAGCACCACTTTGACCTTGGCTGGGTCTATCTCTATTCCTTCATTTGACATGCGGTAGCCCAGTCACTCCCCTCCAAACTCCAGCAATTTGACCTTGAGCTCAGGCAAACGTTGTTGTGGCTACCCTCCCTTTTCACTACTCTCCTGTTCCCACAGCTTGGCCATCCCCCTTTGTGGCAGCTCTAAATCTGAATCAAGAAGGATCCGAGGCTGATACAGTCAAGTTGAAATGAATTCAAATATCTGAGTGTCGGCTTCCGGTTTTGCGCGGCTTCGGTAGCGGCAGGAATTCGCGCCTCTGCGATCCCTGCCGCGTTCGCTGCCAAGGTGCCCCCAATCTAAATAGGTCTGGGGGCTATGGCTGCCTTGTAGAGGCAGCCGAAGAGAGAGGGGATCCGGACAGAGGTTTGGGGGTAACGCAGACCCCCTTTCCAGCCGGAATAACCCCTTTTTCCTGAGGTGGTGGAGCGGCGGTCAGTAATGGCCGCCTCAAAGAAGCCAGCAGCTGGGTAAGATTTGTGCTAGAGGAAGAGGGAAGAGCTGTGGAAGTTGCTTCTGACTGGGATAAAGTTAAGAGAAAAAGTTCCTGTAACCTCGAAGGCTGCTAAGGATACTTTGTTTCTAGAAAGAGATACAAGCGGCGAACATTTTAAAAGAGTAAGTTTTTTTTTTCTTGCCTTTCACTCTCCTCCCTAACGTGACAGCAGTGGAACTATAAGAGAAATCCGGGAATCTGTTCTGGAGATAAATGAATATTGAAAGAGCAAGGATTTCTGAATATTCAAAGGGGAAAAAAAAAAAGAAGAAGAACTTCTTTTTGGCTGTGAGTGGGAAGGGTGAGGAAAAAAAAAATTGGAGCAACCTGAAAATAAGGAGAAGACTGCCTAAAACTTTAAAGAGTTAATTTTAAAGAGCTATTAAACAGCAATAAGACTTCCTAAAGATATATTTTAAAGAGAACTTTGTGATCAAACTTTATCCCAAAAAGAGAAAGTGGAAAAAGAGAAAGTATTAAAAAGAATCAGCTGATTGGACTGTTTGATGACTTTGGATTTTATGAGAATTATCTCAGACTAAAAGCACTTGGGTGGTTGTTTTGAAAAAAAAAATTCTCTGTACAATGGCATCAGTTGTGGATGAACTAGAACTTATACATCAAAAATATGAAAGAGAAAAGCAAGAAGGGAAAGATGTCTTTGGCACTCTTTTTCAGTTTATAGAAATGGCGGTCTGTGCTTATGTAAAATCGTATGAGCAGGATAAAGAAGAAGCCATTTTTGAAGAACATGTGACTTTGGTTGGGGAAGAAAAGAAGGAGGAGAAGAAGGAGAAGAAGACTTTAAGACCTGGGAAAACAATCCAAAAAGAGAAGAATAAGGTGAAAAGAGGATATCGTGTTAGGAAACAACAGAAAGAGGGAAAACAGGATAAAAGGGAGGTGGAGAGACAAGGGGGTAAAGAGGATAAGGAGAAGAAGAAGCAAGGGAGAAAGGAAGGGATGAGAAGCTTTAATGGTGGGGAGCAAAATGCAAAAAAACAAAAGTTTTTTAGAGATAATGGATAGATTTTATTGGAAAAGGGATTCTAGAAAGGTACATAAGATTGCATTTTTATATTTGTATTTAGAAATAATTATAGAAGATTGGAATTAATATGTAATTTAAAATGTGATAAATATTTAGTATAATTTAGTGAAATTTTTGTTAAGAGAGGGGAGTACTTTAATGAAATAATGATTTAAGATCGGTGATGTGGGGGGGGAATAATTTTGGAAAGTATAAGAAGTGTTCCCATAATGGTATGATAATTAATTGAAATGTGTAAAATGTCTAAAGATATAAATGATTGTTAACACAAATGATTAGGCTATGTTATAATAGTGGAACTATTCGTGAAATGAGAGGTTTGAAGAAGGAGAGGGGAACATGTAATGTAATAATGATCTATAATATGTGATGTGGGGGATGGAATTAATATGGCAAATAGGTGCTCCCATAGAAATATGTGACCTAATTGATAAGAAATGTGCTAGATGTTTAAGATATGAATAAATATTAATATTAATGAATAGATTTGTATTGGTTTTGATGATATTGTATAATGTCAGAATGTACCAGACAGAATCCCAACGTAAGTTATGTATTTTAAATCAAGTATTATAAATATAGGGGAAAGAGACATAGGCGTCATACTCCAATCAGTGTACAGGAGAAGGTTTTTCTTTTTTTTTCTTTTAAGAAGAAAGATAAACGGATAGTTGGAAATAGAACAGACAAAGAATAAATATTATGATTTGAATTGAGAGGAGATAAATAAAATAAAATTGAGAAAATTTAAAAGAAAGGAGAAGCTATATAGAAAAATGAAAATGTAATAAGATATGGAATGGTATGTAAAATGAATATGAATTTGAATGTGTGTCTGTACCAAGAGTTTTGACCCGGGATTAAGCAACTTTCAGAAAAGAGATTTTTTATGTTTTTATGTCTTGAATTTTTGTATGTTTTGTATGTCTTTAAAAATTAATAAAAATTTGTTCAAAAAAAAAATATCTGAGTGTCTCAGTGTCTCACTGTCATCTGCTTCCAATTTCATCTATCTCAATAGCTGGTCATACACTGTTATAGCCACAGTGCGAGGATTTCATTAAAACATTGTTTTGAATGAGTATTCCAGGTTACACAATGAATTATCTGAACCTCACATAAGTTTCAAGTGTTTGGGCTGTTGGTCAACATATGTTTTATGTTTTATTCATTTAGTCTATTTGATTATTAATGGATTCTTTTTCTGTAGTCGCCAGCTGCCAAAGCTGGGAAAGAATTTTATATGGTTGATGAGTGGCATCTGGTATTTTAATCTTCCCCATAGCAAATTAAATGTTGTTTGGCATTTGGCCTTTTGTTATGAGTTGTACTTTAACCATCTTCAGAAGATCCATTCAGGCTTAAAATGTGAGCGGAGCCAAGTAATTCTAATGACAAAATTATATGTGTTGGTTTGGCTTTTGTATATACAGGGATTACTTGCAAGATGAAGGGCTTCACATATACAAGAGTGTGCCAAGGCCAAGGTAGATGTGTTCCTTGATGTGAACCCACATAGCCCTGGTTTCATGCTGATTCAGATAAGCAAAAATGTCACAACCGACACAAATCACCCTATAATACTGATAATGGGGATATGTTTCAGCATTCTTAAATAGTGTAGGGATGACTTTACCATTATGACACTCATAATGATTTCCCTCTTTTTAAAAAGCTTTTGCTGCAAGACGTTGTGTTCTCTCTGTGGCCACTATGTTGCAGAATAGGATGTCCCTCTTCATAATTTTAAGAAATGAAAAGTTACCTTTTCTGTAGTAATTTCTAATAATGTTATCCTGTCAGAATTTTTTTAAAAAATATTATTCCTTTAGATGTTCTTTCATTGCAGGAGAGTACAAATATCTCTTTTCCATAATTTCAGCCAGAAAAATTCTATGAAGAAAATAGATGATAGGTATGCCTTGTGCAGAGAGAAAGAGCTAGTCTTGCCAGTAACTCATCTACTTCGTGGTCCTTTTCTCTTGCTGTTTCAGAGTGATTACTCAAGTGACACTGACAGTGAAGACCATTTCCTTATGATGCCTCCCAGGGATCACCTTGGACTCAGTGTGTTCTCCATGCTGTGTTGTTTCTGGCCATTGGGAATAGCTGCTTTCTATTTGTCACATGAGGTATTTGTACAATTTTATTCTTCCATTTAACTTTGTATGGCAGATAGGCAATGCCCAATTAGTATAGAGATGATAATATGATAAAAACTGGATAGATAAAATTATTTTATAATACCAAAAGTTATTTGAACGTGCTGGTCCATGAGAAAAAAAACACCTCACAGTTGAAAAATCCTTTTATTACTAATCAAAATGCCACATGTTCACAAACACGTGAGAAATTTTTATGTTTCTATGTACTGTATGAATTTAAATACCTGTACGACCACCAAATCTGGGCAGCTCACAAAATCTTCATAAATATTGATTTACATTGCTAGGTTTACTTCTGATTAAATGTGCACAAGAAAGCACCAGAAAAATTGTGAACCCTTTGGGAGCTAACCTGTGATATACAAGATCAAAAAATAGCATTTCCAATATGACCTGTTTTTATGTGTTGGGAATAAAACTCTAGCAGTTCCCAGGTAGAATTGGTCTTAACCCATTTGGGGGAGATGAAATAGGGAGGAGTAGCTGTAGTCATGCTTTAATAACATATGGATCACATACATGCGTGTTTTGATAATGTATTTTTCATCCTTGTTGGTATATGCGTGAATTTGTAATTGACTTACCTTTCCTCTTACACAAAAGTTTTTTGCATCCTAAAATTATTATTATTCAGTAACTTCTTTATTTTTTTGACTCAATGGATATTATTTCCTTGAATTCTTCATATAATCAAAGTTTAACCTTGTGTCATCAGTGATAGTATCTATTTACTTTGTTTTTGTTCAGTGTCTTGTTCAACTGGCTTTTTCTAAACATCAGGGTCTTCTCCAGTGATTCTCACCCTCACATTGTCTTCCAACATATAGTATCTAAGTGTTTGCTTCTTTATTAGTTTCCAATGAGCAGTCTAATTTACTTCATCTAATATTGAATGATTTATTCTTCTGCAGTGCAGGATATTTTCCCAGCATCATGATTCAAAGTCATAATTTTTCTTTGTTCAGTCTTTCTCATGGCCCAGCTTTTACAGCCATATCTTACAACCAGCCTTAGTAGTACCTTTGCTGTCAATGTGATACCTTCAATAGTTTGTCTACATTTGTTACAGACTTTCTTCCAAGTAGTAGACACCTCTTTATTTAATAGTTGCAGCAACGATCCCTGTAAATTTTTAAGCCTAGAAAGATAAAATCTATTTCTGTTTCTGTGTATATTTGTATTCAGTAGTCTGCTGAAATAATATTTTAAAGCAGCAGTCAATATTTTCATTCTTTTATTTTCAGCAAGACATTTTCTAAAACATATATCAAAGTATCACCAGTATATCTGAAGTTGATGTTTTTCCCAGCAATTTTAATTCCATTTTCTGTCTTCTAGTCCATAATTTCTCATGATGTAGTCTGCATGTAAATTAAAAGACAGTATGCAGTCTTCATGCATTGTTTTTTTCCCATTTTTGGACCAATGTTTAATTGTTCCATATTCTTTTCTAATTGTTAATTACCAGAAATGTAAAGGCTGTCCACAGAATGCTGTGGTCTACAAAGTAAACACTGTTGTATATTCAATAAAGGGGAATAGGTCTTTTTAGAACTCCTTTCCCTTCTCTGCTATCAACTGAATATTAACAATGTATTTTCTGACCCCTGCCACTTCTGATTCCTGTTTGGCAATTCTTGTTTTAAGTATTGTTGAAGTGTGGATTGCAAAATTTTGTACGTTATCTTACTAGCATGTGAGACAAGTGCAATTGGTTATTACCTCTAAGGTCTTCATGCCATAGGTCCAGGGTATGTGAAGAGCCATCTCACCCCAATGGGACTAGCTTGCCTCACTCGCTCTGGCAGAAGGGGTCTGCTGGAGACCCCTTCTGTTAAGGAATTCTGGTTGATGGGGTCAAGGGGAGAGCCTCTTCTGCTGTGGCCCCTGCCCTGTGGAACATTCTGCTACTGGAAGTGAGAACTGTTCCTACACTTTTAGCCTTCTGGAAGGGCATTGACACCTGGTTTTGCCACTTGGCTTGGAACCCCAGAGAGGCCCTGTCCACTGAAAGTGGTTGATGAGGTAAGAAGACAGTCTCATCCTAATGCTGTCCATCAGCTTGGTTCTAGTTTTTCACATCATTTTTTTAAACTTTAATTATTTTTCTTTTTACTATTTGTAAGCCCACCCAGATAGGGTGGCATATGAATAAAATAAATAAATAAATAAATGTATGGTATTTTGAGCATCTTTAGCACTGTCCTTTTTGGTATTGGAATACAAATTGTTCTTTTTTCAGTTTAATTGGCCATTTCTGTATTTCCCATAGATGCTTGCACACTATAAATAAGTACATAATTTAAGTACATAATTTAAATAAATTCTGCTGTTTTTTGTCATTTTTTGCAAATTTGTTTGAATATTTTCTATTTACTTGAATGCCTGAGTCTACTTCAGGGATGAAATCCTTCAAAAGAACATTCCTATGAAGTACAATCTCTATTCTATTCTAAGGGCCTTATATATTGGGCATGTCACTCTAGCCCTTTTACACTCTCTTCCAGGTCCAGTATTTTGCCCTAGTCATGTTAATCCGAGTAACCACTTGTTTTATGGTTACATAAATCCTAAAATGTTCTGGTGCTTAGCTATTGAATACAATTTGACCCAAATATTCTCAAAGTTGTCCCAGGGCTCCTCCAATAGAAGATACAACTGTCAGACATCACCAGCTCAAAATAAGAACTCCTTTTACCTTGTCATGTTTACTATTTCGTATCAACTGATCATCCTTTCTCATTCTCTGTAACCTGCATCTGTTTTAAATTGACTGGAACCTTATTTTCATTTCTGTTACATGTGAGTCAATCCCTTTTGCTTGTCCTTACTTTTAAAAAATAAATGTATTTTGGACTGGAAAAAAAATGGAATGGGATGAATGAAATTATCTGTTAAACTGGATTGGCATATACATTTCAATATCATAAGAATGCATGAATTTCAAGAAATATTCATATTAGTCCAGACATATTCGCTTCATTTATTTACAAGGTAGTTCATTAACTTCTGGCTTGGGAAGTAAACCTGGCCTTTGAAGCGTGAAAGATGCAGTATGTAATGTGAACCAGGCCACTGTAATTTCTTCAGCAAACCATGATTCAAATAATGATATGTGAATTCAGACTGTGATTTTTACTTTGATTATACAACTGAAGAATTCCTACTTGGACCAGCTACCTCATTGTCTTCAAAGGTATTGGATTACAGTTTTCATACTTTTCCAGCAAACATGGAAAGGCTATTTAGATGTGTTTGAAATAAATAAATAGGAATACAATTATTCAAATATAAAGTATATTCTTGCCACTTGTTAAGCAATTAGCAATTCCTTCTGCCAATGCCTGTAGAAATTCACTCATGGGGTCATTTAGCCTGTGCAAGCATTTAATGCTTTTTTTTCTGAATTGCATTCAACCTTGATATTGTTATTTCACTGCAGAATATATTTTCTGTACACTGCAAATAGTACAGTAATGCAGAGAAGCCAATAGAATCACAGAGATACCCTATGCAGATGGATGAGAATAACAGAGACAATGAAGAATGATCAGTGCTGAAAGACCAAAGACCTTTACAAGGGAATTTCAGCATTATCTCTACTAGTATCTCCTGCTGAACAAGTTAACTTGCTCTGTGCTGTTAATGGCAAATTTTCAACTTAGCATTCTTGTGCTTGCTGTGACTTTTGTTTATTAAAGTTCTTAGTCTGCTATTGAAAACATTTCAGCCTGGAGAGGTTTTTAAATTGGCTCATTTTGATGCCAACCATAGTCTCACTATGGTGTTTTTTTTTAAGAAGAAAGAGTTGAAATGCAGTTATTGCAGAAATGCCCCTCAGGACAGCAAAGAAAAGATAATTGGGGTTTTTTTACCTCATCCATATGAAATGCATGTTTCTGGTAGGAGAATTTGCATAAAGCTTGGCTACTTCAGTGTTACAGCATATTCTGGATCAAGATTTTACTGTCTTTGAATTCCTCAGAAAGGGTTTATTTTAATAACAAAATTTAACATCCACTTACTGAAGCTAGATTACTCATTAATTATATTTTGTATGTATAACTGAAAATATTCTAATCTTAAGATTTATTTTCAGTTTCAGCATCACTTTGCTCACATCTTTTTTATACAAAATTCACCCCTCCTTCCTTAAATTTCACTGTCTAATTAGGTGAAGCAAATAATTTGTTTGCTCTATCAAACCCCCTCCCCCATGCTCTTACGCACCTTGTTTTTTCAATTTGGTGAGCATTATGCAGAGTGTTCTCAAGGATCATATCCCTTGCCAGTACTTAAGAAAGTATTCAACATTTGAGTGTGCACTTTTTAGGACTAATTTGGTTGTATTGATAAATATATAGATTCAAACTTATATAAAGTCCAAGGAAGAAAAGAAAGAGAAAAACTCAGAAAAAAAAAGTGCAAGAAAGGGGGGAAAATACAAGAAAAGTAGAAAAGAAAGAAAAAACCCACAGAGAAATGGCTTTCAAACTTTTTTACAGCAGTTATAAGTGCAATTATAAATTCATCTTTTACTCTAGGCTGTTGTAACAAGACTCTTTTCTTTCTATAATTTATTCTGTCAAATCATCAAAATTATAAATTATAAATTCACTTTTTTTCTGTTCTATGCAAAAAAGTGTTTAAGAGTTTTCTGGTTACTATAATATATATTAAGGAAGACCACTTTTTTTTTGAATCATACTTTTTTTAAATCAATGCCAAAAATGATTTCAGTTGAATGGGATAAAAATGTTAGTCCTGTTCTATAGTCCTGTAATTTCAACCAAGTTACTACTAGGGGAAAAAGAAAGAACCTAATCACAAATTTCTCTAACTTAGCCATAAAGTGCAGTCCAAAATATATGTACAATTTCATTTTGTTGAGATAAACTTATTAAATTTGTAGACATATGTCTACTATACTGTCATCTCTGTTGGCCTTTCTATTGCTATTTGATAACAATAGTGGCCTTTCTGATTCTGAAAATGTGGAATGAAGTTGATTTTAATAGTAATTGTATTGGAGGGGGTAATAGATAAGAAAAGAGTTAATAAAGAGTTGTATTAGAGAACAGATGCTGGAAGAAACACATTTATGGTCATCCTCGAAAAAGATCAGCTGTTATTGCTTCCAAGGTAGGGATGCAAATCAGATGTTATGCCCCTTGAAAATGTTGGACTTAAAAGCAAACACTTATGTTATTTCATAAAGTACAAGAAATGCAGTTTTCATTGCAGAAAAAATGAGAAAAAACTTTGTGTGTTTGAGACAAAATAATGGCTACTAAAACCCCTACTAAAAAAATTTCTTCATGCTATTTTCTGTTAAGTGGCTGCCATGTACACACTCACTAATGTAAACTTTATCCATTCTTGCAGACAAACAAAGCCATTGCTAAAGGGGATTTCCACCAAGCAAGCTGCAGTTCACGGAGAGCTCTCTTCTTGGCTGTGCTATCCATCACCATTGGAACAGGCATCTATGTAGGAGTTGCTGTAGCACTCATAGCTTATCTATCCAAAAACAATCACATATGAAATTCGACAAACTGGACTGCTACAGAAAGCTATACAGGAATGATATCATACCTTTCAAATATAAATAGTTTTGAGAGTGAGAAGGGCTGTCATAAATTTATACAATCTGAATTCCGAAGAGTAATGTTCTGGATCTTTTTTACTTTTCTGATTTATTTTTAGTATTGGTAAAACTGTTATTGCAAGAAAGCCATGGGCATTTCCAAATATCAAAAGATAGCTTCAGACCTTGTTTGTAATTTGTTTCTGGTCTAAATTAGACTCAACTCCAAATTTGGGGTCATCTGTTAAAAAGTAAGAGACATCTGAAGTTACAAAACTAAAGGTAGAACATCTGAAAATGGTTTTGCTATTCCAGAAAGCTAATTCTGGATTTTGGATGACCAAGAACTAGTAACTGGCTTAGAGCTGATCCATGACTAAAATACAAACAAAGCTGCAGAATCAATGTAATAGGAATAGCAAGGGACTCTCAGTTCTTTTATTCAATCACAATCAGAAAAGGGCTACCCCTGAGCCAAATGAAATTCAGTAGGTGAGGTGGCAGATTTTGGTGTTATAAGGAACAGCAGAATGAGAAAGTGAGTGTTCCAGTTATAGTATAAAGGTGTTACATACGTTGCATAAACTGCATTGGAATACACAGAAGCTGTACAACACATAACAGTGGTCTTGTGCAACCCTGTTCTTTGACTCAGTGTAGCTTACACTGGAATATTTCTACACGGATGGTTCATAAATGATTTCATTGAATTTCATTGAAGTCAAAGCATCTTGTGCTGGTTGGCCCTGCTCCTATCCCAAAAAAGACTCGCTTATAAAGCATGCTATTCTTTCTGGCAGCATCTCTTTTCCAGAGAGGATTTTTTTCAGCAAATAAATATAAGAAGCTCATCCATAAATGTCATGGCAAGGCATGAACTATCACTGTGAAACTAGCCTACTGGCACAAAAATGTTTTCTTAGCTTACAGACTCACATCTGAGCAAAGCTGGAATATGTTGGAATATGTCTCTTGGTACAAAACATTAATAAGCAAGGTCATATTGTAAAGAATGTATTTAATATTTTAAAAATGTCTAAAAATCATGATATAACATATTTCTTCTAATGGTCTTTTGTTCTCTTGAAGCAATCTTTTCATGTGGCATTTTACAGAATCTTATAAAACCATTCATTGCAATGAGATACAGTATTATCTGTCTTGATTTTATCAACATTATTAATCCAAGGTATTTTCAACATTTAAGGATGTTTAAAATTTATTTACTTTGGGAATTAATATATTTTCTGTAAAACTCCTAAGCCTATGAGTGAAAACTACTATTAGATTGTAGGATTGGGAAAAGCAAAGTGGGCGAGATTGAGATTTCAAGGAAATCTTGTCCAAATACCAAATCAAGTCAAAAGGTACCAATATAAATTCTTTTCAAAATCTGCGCTTTACTAACAGCTTGCTTTAATCAATCATAGCTTTTCCCCACTCTTTTATAAATTGTTTAGTTTCAGTTCTTAAACTCAACTAATGGAAATACCTTGGATGGATCTGCCAGTTCATATAGTTATAGATCCTACTGGGGAGGGCTACACAAGGAAATTCAGATAGTAGACTGGTGATGGTAACTTTTGATGCTAATAATACCACTGGCTACTGATAGCTATTATACTGTGTTTCTTCAGTGATCTATCATTAAGGAAGAACTGCATTGCTCTATAGTCACCTTAAAAGTAATGTTGCTCCTATACTAGAGGTGGTTTGAAATGTCTAACAGCTGTTGGCTGAGTTATAATTAGAAATTGACATTAGCATATTGTGGAAATAGAATAGAATATACAGTATAATAGAATACTTCATTGGCCAGGTGTGATTGGACACACAAGGAATTTGTCTTGGTGTAAATACTCTCAGTATACATAAAGAAAAGGTACATTCATTAAGAATCAAGAATCATAATGTACAACACTTAATGATAGTCATAGGGTACAATCAACAATCAAATCATACTAGGAAACAATGCTGCTCAGGGATATGTTGAGTTGATCAAATTATAATCATTATTCCCACAACACCATGAAGTAAGATGCCATGTTTGTACATGGGGCTGACAAAGAAAGTGACTTGCTCTAGGGCCTAGGCCATATATAAAGTCCACAGAAGAGGTGAATTTTGAAACTTTAAAGTGTCCTGAGAAGAAACATCACTCCTCTCTTTGGCCCGTAATAAAGTTTACTTTTATACTTTGAAGTATTTTGCTGACTGCTCAATAGTTTAAAGATTTCCATCCAACAAACTTAATGATAAAAAAATGTATTTTCTTTAACATTTATTCATGTGAGGAGGAGAAGGCGACAGCAAATAAATTGGAATCTTGATGGATTTCCATGCAAACAGAGTTTCTTTTTCCCCCAAAATTTTATTGAATAAACACTAAAAACATTGAACACAGTATGACTTTCCTGGCAGTTATTTTGCGATACATACTGCAACATGAAACCATATACAACAGTTGATCTCTTACTTATCTTACATTGCTAAGTTGGTGCAATTAACATATTCATTTCCATTTATATTCATATTTACTGCATAATTTCCTTTCACATTCTTTTTCTGTAACTATTTTATCCACTGTATTTCATTATCTTTAAATGTCTTCTCCCTTTAATCCTATACAATATCAGACTTTTTGTCCCGACCTCTTTTCCTCTATTCCAGTCACTTGTACATTTTGTTCCAGACTTACGTTTCTTAAAAACATTGCCTTCTCCCTGTTACCATATATCAGTTTTATGAAAGATTTACCAGGAAACAGGGCATGTTTTTCAATAAATCATTTTTAATAGGAACTTTTAAATATATGTAGTCTGGAAAACATTGTTATAGACACTGAGCCTATGCTTATTTCTTTAAAAATAAATGTATACTAGTTTTATGTCCATGCACACATGTGTTAGTTTGCAGTGAAAAATAGCCAGGATTTGAAACATAAACGTTTCTGATTTGCATTTCAATTATTATAATTTTTAAAAGACACTAAAACTAGAATACCAAAAAGAATCTAGTATGTGCTTCATCGAGTAGAAAGGCCTTTGAATGTGACAAATGTGTCAAGCTTAGGAAAATTGGAATCCCAGAACATCTCACCATCCTCATGCAAAACTTATATACAGGACAGGACTTTTTTTCTCTCTAAAGAAACATCAATAACCTGTGCTGTGTTGATGGCACTATTCTGATAGTGGAAAATGTAAATACAAGCTTTAGTAAGGAAAATCAAGGACCATAGTAAAAAAAAAAAAGTGGGGGGGGGACTACCATTAAATATAACAAACAACCGAGAACAGATACAGCAGGAGTTCCCAATCCTGGGGCTGTGGCCCACTACTGGCCCATGGCCTGTTGGGAATTGAGCCATTGAAGCAGTGGGTTGGTGTGCAAAGCTTCATTTGTACATGCATAGGATTTAAGTTGCATGTGCGAAACCCTCCCCTCATATCGCCAAAGCCGCTGCTGCCAGTCCACAGAACCAAAAAGGTTGGGGATCCCTCAGCTACAGCAACCAGCCTTAAGATTGACAAGTTGTGAATTGATTCTGTCTTTTAGAATTAACTTTCAACATTAAAGGAACCAGTAGACTAATACTTAGTAGGATAGCAGTGAAGGCCTTGGAAAAGGTATTCTGATGCCATGATATGTCTATATCTACGAAAATCAGAATTGTGTAGGCAGTTGTTTTTCCTATGACTTTCTATGGACTTCTAGGAGGCAGGATAAAAAGAGAATTGAAACTTTTTACATTTGGTGTTGGAAAAGACTCTTAAGAACACTACAAGAAAACAAAAATCGGATCATACAACAAATCATTCAGAGTTCTCATTTGAGGTACAAATGACCAGTCTCAAATGTTATATATTGGGCACGTAATTGGAAGATCTAAAAGTTGTGGGTAGATCATTCCGGAAAACTTATATGGTTTTTAAAAGTCAATACCGATTTGGTGGCACATAATCAAAATGCGAAAAATAATTTCTAAGGTCAACATAAAAGTTCCATTAAAAAAAGAAATTAAAATACATTTTAAAGGCATCACAATGGGCACCAACACTGTGAACCAATAAAATAACAAGCACATTTGGAAAGATATATAATGTATCATCAGAAAAAAAGTGCTCTGTAATGTTCACTTTTAAAGCTAACTTTTTCAGGAAAAGAAATATAGGCCCTGAATTAATCAGCTGCAGATATCACTGATTTATGGTATTAAGGCCCGGAAGGCTTCTTTGCAAGTCAGGCAGAGTACAAGAACTATTTATCAGATGGGAAGTTGTCCTAAATCAGAAACAGTCCTGAATGATGACATAAAGAATACAAAGGTACTTTCTGTACAGGACAAAACATGGAACATGCAGTGATTCAATATAAATACAAGCCAAAGGAACCATTTATGAGTTTGGATAGTTACAGAAAGATCAGACAATCCTCCCCCTCCTCCTTCAGCAATTAAATTTAAAATAAAATTGTATTCTCTCCAATATTGTTTTGTCTGGTGGGGATTTACAACTATACTTTTAACCTGTACCTGGCACATCTGATGCCCACATTATCATGCATTTCTTCCATCCCTGGTACAATTTGTGTTGTTCCCATAGTCAACCTCTACTTTGTCCCAGTGATAAAACTGATAACATTTTTACAGTTTTAATACAAAAACATCAACTCATGGATTCTTCTGGTGGCCCATTTCATCCACCATTCCCTATCAATTTCATCAAAGATTCTGAATATCCTCAAACCAATAAGTGGAGCAAGGGAACATCTGTAATAGGCAACATGATGTTGTGTCATAAAACCAGTAGAAAATAGAACCATGGAAACATCCTTATCAGCAGAAACAGCAGAAATGGAGCCTTGACCAGTGGTCACCAATTGGTGGGCCATGAGAAAATTTTGGTGGGCCTCAGAGAAATCTCAACCCCAGAGCACCCACCCAAAGCGATTAATCCAGGCTGCACAGAAACACAAGGCTGCGCCACCCACATGGCCCGTGGGAACCCTCCCCGCCCACTCACTCCTTACCCAGCAAACTTGCCTGCTAAATTGCTATTTTTCCTTTTTCCGACCATCAACTGTTCTGCTGTGCCAGGAGATTTAGATTAGCTAGGAAGCAGGAAATGGTTGCATTTCTTGCTTTCTAGCTAGTCTTTAGATCTTCGGCTCTGCTTTTAAGCACAGCCGAACCTCCCTTAGGACTGAAGTTTCTATTATTCAGTGCAGACTCACGGCAAGCAAATTTGAGAGACCAAACTAGCCAATGGCAGATAGATAGATCACTGAATGATTCTGTGAGCAACTCAACCTACCTGCCTGCTTTGCCTGATTTTGGGTAAAAGTTTCTCTTTTTTATAAAAAATTCAATATTTATATATTTATAATATTTACATACAAGCCATGCCCAGCCAGTCACATGACCACCAAGCCATACCCACAAATTAGGCCACACCCACAGAACCAGTTAGTGGTCCCTGGGATTTAAAATTATGAGTTTGGTGGTCCCTGAGGTCCAAAAGGTTGGCGACCCCTGGCCTAGACTATGAAAATCTCTTTCCTGTTTATTTATCCTGGTAGCAGATTTTTTAAAAGATCAGTTTAACACTCTTTCCAAAAAATGTTAATTATGTTTAAAAAGAAGGCTAGTTCTTGTCTAGAATACCAGTAAATCCATGTATAAGGGAGAGTGCATAATGTTTGATCAGAATTACCCAGGCAACTGGGCATATATATATATATCCCAGTCGCTCACTGTGTCATTGCTCAAATAGTTAATGAAGCATTGCAGATTGTTCACCCAGCAAGACTTGTATTGGAAGAAGATGGAAAATGCTATATATTTTGAAACTGGAACAAATAAGTACAAGTTTCTTCTGCAATTGAAGATGATTTGATAAGTATGTGTCCCCTATGGACGGTTAGTGAATATTTTTATGCTGCAATTGGGAGAACCTGAGGATGAGCTCCTAGGCAGGTTTGCAGAGAATGAGACAGGCTACTTAGGCCTACTTAGGCTTTGAGTAGG